CTATTAGGTTTAGTGCTACTATGAATATCTTCAACATGTGTTTTAGTGTGCTCATGAATATATTGCCACCTTAAGGTGGAGATACTGTACCATTTTGTTTGCAGATGTTTGGTCTGGGTTAATTATTGCTAAATGGTTCTGTAAAGGATATATGTCAAGTTACCCTTCCATCAGCTGTGTATAAGAATTCTATTTTTACCATATTCTCATCAACGTGTAGTATTGTCTGTATTTCTCACTTTAACCACTCAAATGGGCTGTAGTGATGCTGAATTGAGGTTTTAATTTATATTTCCGTAATTATTAGTGAATTTAAACACATCTTCACATATTTACCTGCTATTTGGGGATACTTCAGATAGAGCCTACCCAATTCTTATTTTTTTTTTTTTTAAGAAGATGTTGGGGGTAGGAGTTTATTAATTAATTTGTTTATTTTCGCTGTGTTGGGTCTTCGTTTCTGTGCGAGGACTTTCTCTAGTTGTGGCAAGCAGGGGCCACTCTTCATCGCGGTGCGCGGGCCTCTCACTATCGTGGCCTCTCTTGTTGCGGAGCACAGGCTCCAGACGCGCAGGCTCAGTAGTTGTGGCTCACGGGCCCAGTTGCGCCGCGGCATGTGGGATCCTCCCAGACCAGGGCTCGAACCCGTGTCCCCTGCATTGGCAGGCGGATTCTCAACCACTGCGCCACCAGGGAAGCCCCTTACTTATTTTCTTACTTTTAATTTTAAAAGTATACAGGCCTTTTTTTGATATATATATATATATTATAATATTGTCTCTCACTCTATCGTTTGCCTTTTCATTCTCTTATAGTTTCTTTTTGAATAAAAAACTTGTAATCTTGTCAAATTTATCAATATATTTTCTTTATGATTAGCACTTTTGTGTCCTGTTTAAAAAATCTTTGCTTACAAGTTAATAGAAATATTTTATTATTTTTAAGTAATTTGTTAACTTTCATAGTTTAATATACAGTTCATTAAGAATTAATATTTGTGTGTCAGGTAAAATAATATTTAATTTTTCGATATTCACAATTAGTTAACCCAACATAATTTATTGCAGAGACCATCTTCTCCTCACTACACTGAAATGTTATCAGTTAACTGTATATGTAGGTTGGTTTTGAGACTCTCCATTCTGTTCCAATCTGCTACCCTAGCATCTATACCACCCTCTCTTGGTTTCTGTAGATTTTTTGAGGGTTTTTCTTTTAGTAGCTCTTCATAACTGGTAGATGAAATCATGCATCTTTATGCTCTTTCAAAGTTGATTTTGCTATTTTAATCAGAGCGAGTGCGCACTATTGGTATTTTGGCAGAGAATGTGTTAACAGGATTGACATCTTTAAAATGTGAAATGTTCCAAACAAAGAATATTCCTCCACTTATTTAGTTTTCTGTTAACTGTTCTCAAAAATGTTTTGTAGTTTTGGTGTGTTGGTTTTGTATGTGACCCTTAGTTTTATCCTGGGTATTTCTTACAGCAGGGTCTAATTTAGTCTGACATAAGAATATTGATTCAATCTGACTAGAATTAACTCATATCAGTCCTTAGTATACTGTAGGATAAATTCTGCTATCTTACTTTTCAGTGCTTTATCAAATAATACTTCAGTAAGCTGGTGGGCAATAGGTACCATAGCTTTCCTTTATTTCATTCCTAAAAGTCATCTAGTATTTCCAGCGTTTTTTGGGGGGGCAGTGATAACTTCGATGTTATTTTTTGACACATGGGGCTTATTTATTTTGTTGAGATTTCCACTTTTTTTTTTGGCCAATGGCTACTAAAGTTAAGTTGAGTTTGGAAAATATTTTTTTTAAGTAAAATTTGCCAACACGAGCTAGAAAATATTTATATAAGTTTACAAATCCATTTTGTTAGTTAACACTTCAAGACAATAACATGCTAATTCATCCTTAGTACATACCGATCACAAAAGTACACATAGATACATAATTTATATTTAGTCTATTTTATGGAAACATTTGAGATTATACATTATAAAATAATCGACAGGTTATATTGTAACTCTTTCATTGTCTAATTCTACATTCAAGCATATCATATAAAAGGAAATACAAGATAGTTATTATTGCAAAATGTAGCATTTTTTTCCAAATGTACACCTTCACATGCATAAAAAACTTCAATTCTATTTAAGTTTGCTAGGTTCTGAAACACAATATATCTTCATAACAACTTGGTATAGTTTTATCACAGGAAGACTGTTTTAATTTCAAGGAAGAATAATGAAGCTAGTCAAAGTTGCATTTTTGCTGTATAAAAGAAATAGTTTGCTTCTAAGTAATACATGACATACCAATGAAATATGAATTTTTAAACTTTCAGAAAGAAAATGAAAAGAATGTTAACCCTTATTTTATTATAGACTACCTTTAAGCCACACTGCATAATCATGTTACTTCAGTCCATGAAATGCCAATTATAATATCCAAATAAACTTCTAGATTTTAAGCTGCAATCACATATTCTGTTGGGATTTTCACATTCCATTGGTGGCAAGTTTACATCTGTTAAAATTACTTCAGTTTCAATATAATATTATGCACTTAAATATTCATACATTTTTATTTATGTATGTATTTATTTATTTTGCGGTACGTGGGCCTCGCACTACTGTGGCCTCTCCCGTTGCGGAGCACAGGCTCCGGATGTGCAGGCTCAGCGGCCATGGCTCACGGGCCCAGCCGCTCCACGGCATGTGGGATCCTCCCAGACCGGGGCACGAACCCGTGTCCCCTGCATCGGCAGGCGGACTCTCAACCACTGCACCACCAGGGAAGCCCTTCATACATTTTTAATCAAACATGAATACTTGCTTTCATAAAATGGCTTGAGACCTACTTGAAATACCTGCATATAAAAGATCTGAAGTTTTGAGAAAATAATTGAAACATCCCAGGCAAATGACATTTATTTTCAAAGCATGAATATTTAAAGTCTTTATAGTCTACAACTAAATGACTTTATATTCAAGAATAAACATAATTGTATATAATCAATAGAAAATTAAAAATTTGATACATTTATGTGTTCTGTTTTGAAGATTTTTCTCTAATTCAGTAGACACTTGGACTGGAATTGTAAGGGACTGTTGAATCTCCACTTCTGTCTTCTGCATTAAGTACTTCTTAGCTAGTACTGGTCTTTTTCATGCGTGATTCAAAGTCAGAAATTGATTGTATACCTTTTAGGTTGCCTAATGGAGAGACCAAAATAATCAGCCACTCATAACCCAATTAACCCTGGATAATCACCCAATATGGCTGTAGAAGCTAAAAATATTAACAAAGCGCACCTATTTTTTAAAAAATTGGAAAGTAGTTTCAGGATTAAAGGAATAAACCTTTCAAAGCAAAAGAATCAAATTTATCTCATGTTCCTTTAGTGTGATACACTGATGCTGATGTATTTTAAAACTCTCAGCATGACTGTGAGGCCAGTACCAGTGACAACTTCTGTTTGTAGTGTAACCTCTATTTCTCCTACAAGTTTGGAGTTTTAATACCTATAATATTACTCCTGACTCTATCCATCTAGTGGTAAATTAAATGACAAATGAAAGAAATTTAATAATCTCACCAAATATTCTCAGTAGTGAACTGTTTGCTTTTCTAAAACATGACATTCTGCATTCAAATAAAATGTAAGTTATATAGTTGTTTTTACTAAATTAAAAGTTGAAATGATAAATATTATGAAATACTATTAAAACATTCTCATGCGTCTATGAGAAAAATTTTTAGGAGTTTTAAAATTTACTGTATCCCTTCCAAACACAAGATGCAAGTGGTAAATTTTCAGAGTAGAACATGTACTCTAACCATCTACAGTTAGTAAACTAGAACGTCTGAAAAGACAAGAAAGTGTATTCTAAATACAGTATTACCATATTCACATACGATACCTAATCAGAGTAAGAAACCATAGTTTCTGTTTCAACTTTGATATGGCTTAATAATTCAAGTTTCAAGTTTAATGCTGAGCATGGGACAGGGTTATATTATCTGCATCTGAAAGAGAAGTTGATAGCTATTGAAGCCTACCTCAGCAAACAAACAAAAATCTCAAAAATCTCATCTTACACATAAACTAGAAAAGAAAACAAAGCTCATAGTTAGTAGAAGCAAGGAAATAAAGATCATAGTGGAAGTAAATGAAATACAGACTAAAAAAGCAACAGAAAAGATCAATGAAACTGGGAGCTGGTTCTTTGAAAAGATAAACAAAATTGATAAACCTTAGCCAGACTCATGAAGAAAAAGAGAGAGTACCCAACTCAATAAAAACAGAAATGAAAGAGGAAAAGTTACAACTGACACCACAGAAATACAAAGGATCATATGAGATTACTACAAACTATTATATGCAAACAAATTGCACAACCTAGAGGAAATAGATAAATTCCTAGAAACATAATTTTCCAACACTGAATCAGGAAGAGATAGCAAATCTGACCAGACTGATCATTAGTAATGAAATTGAATCAGTAATCAAAATTCTCCCAACAGACAAAAGCCCAGGACAAGACAGCTTTATAGGGAAGTTTTGTCCTTTCCTTCAGGACAAGGAATATAATTTCTTGAGGCCTTTTTGAAAGTTTTAATGGACTTTAGTAGGAATGGTAAAGAATAAATATTTCTTGCTAGGATACAAACAGTCTGCCTGGGTTTGAATGAAATATAAACATAGAAGCTGAGTCTTACTACTTAAAAAAATTCACTCAAAAACTATAACCCTAAATTAAGTTATTAATCTATACATTGGGTATTAAGCTGTACCCAACTACTGTATGGCTGAAGGTCTGTAACAGTGACCCATGATGGGCCCATATGTGACGAGCATTTCCACAGTCTCCATTAGCTCAGAGGGATACGTTGCAAAGCCTGCCTGCATTTGGCCCACTTTTTTAGCAGTAACTTGATTTTTTGTTGGAAAAGTGCATCTCCATATGTACCATCTCCTTCCTCTCAGGAAGAAGATGGCATCGTTTTTAGATAAGTACATGGTTATGGATATTGGTGATTGAAGGGAAGAAGGAAGCAATGATGATCACCCATGATGTTAAGGTAGGTATCTATTACCTCAAAATTTCAAATTTTATTTTATTTTCTGCCTCAGATAAAAGAAGTATATTATATACTTCTCGCTGGATTATGAAAAATGAAGGCAGTATCAAGCATACAGTCATTAACATTTTTCTCTATGTGGATTCACAATTACAAATTGACACCATTTTTTAAAATGCCTTTGAAGAAACTGTCTTCTATTAAAGCATGTTACTCATCTACTCAGCTTAGCTATGAAATCAAGATATCAACATATCTTAATAACAAATCATTTTTTATCAAGTAAAATTCATATATATGGCAATTCAGATATTTTTGGAAAGCCAAGTATGCTATTTATTTTTGTTACATTATTTTAGAACTCTGAAAATTAGCTTAAGTAAGGAGAGATAGGCACACAAAAACATTTGTACAACTATAAACATGAAGATTTAAATTGACTTTCCAAATTTATGAAACACTCTCCATGTACGCATATGAAGACCATTGTGCTGTGTTTAAATTACACTGTATTTCTCATCATGTAAAACTGCTGCATGTAAATACAGGAAGACAATTATTTGAAGATTTTTAATTTTTTAATTGATTGCATAATGACTCATAGTTTATTATTAGTAAAATATAAATAAAAGTTGACCTACAATTATTTTACTTTTAAAGCAAATTCCCGGATGATCTTATCTCTTTTACATTATATACTGATTACTCTCAAATGAAAACAGATATTTGATTCCTAATCTTTATTGTGTATAGCTTTGTCAGTTTTGGAGAATATCTAGGATCAAACTGTAGAGCAAAATTATATCTTGCTAAAGATGCACATTTTTGCTCTAGGTAATATCTCCCAAATATTAGTGATATGAATTCTCTTGTCAAATAAGTTAAGAATACATTAAATACTATGAATTTCATGTACAAAGACTGAAAAAACAAACCACTCCATGTACTCTGCAATACTTTAGTCTCTCCCCTTTAACATAATAGAAAATAATTAATGAAGTTATATTCAAGTTTCTGTTTAGTTACTTTTGAAATCCATTATTATATACGCAGGTAAGTTAAAGGTTCAGATGCATTACAAGTTGGGAAAAACTGAATATACTTAATTATTCTGTCTAATATTTCCATTTCAAAATGTTATGTTGAAAACTTAATAAATTTTTATTCACATGCTATTATTTGCTGAAATTTTAGCATATGGTATTTTGGTCATTAATGAGTTTTTATGCAAATGCAGTTTTATTCAAAGTAGGCAGTGCCTCTGTGATCTTGAAGTGAAGCCCTTTCCTAAGAGTGTGCAGTGGGAAAAGCCACCAAACACATTAAGGAGAAATTGAAGAAGTGTAACTTACTTTATCACCTGCTCATCATTAGCTAGAAATATATTTTCTAAATTACATAAAGACTGAAAATGTGTTTTGAATTATTTGAGCTTTGATCTCATTCTTAATTAAAATAATTCTAATTATTTAATGTAATTCTAAATCTCAGATTGTATCAAAGAAATGTAATTCCATGGATAGGGAGCCTTCAATGATGATTGGGGTCTCTGTGGTCCTGAGCCCCAAATGTTCACATGTTCAGCAGTTGTTATTGTCATTCCCTCTGCCAGACACAGAGGTGATTAACATGATACAGTAACTAGTAGACATGGCTCCCATTTAAAGAACTTATTGAAGGAGGTAGATTGATGGATGATAGATAAAAGATAGAAGAAAAATAAACAAATAGATCAATCAAATTGCATGTACAATGGTAAAGATGTCCTTTAGTTTTATTTAAGGACAAAAGGTTTTTGGAGGAGGTGATGCTTTGGGGAAAAAGGTATAATTCTTGCTGTGTTCTAGAAACTCTGTGTGAAGGATAGAATTTGAATACAAAATTACAGTAATCTGATGAGTCAGAAATATATCACATATATTTGGAAAGGAGGATAACTTAAAACTAAAATAATATAGTAAGAGAGGAAAGAAAACTTTAAGAAAAATTTGTGTAGTAACATTGGAAGAACATGTTGGTGATTGTGTGGATGAGGTTTATAATAAAGGGTTAAACTCTATTTTGATACTTGACTGCAAATAGCTTTTAAGCCTCACACTGCCTCTTCCTGTGCCTCTCACCTGGGCACTAGGATAAGGAAGCCCAGGTGTTCCTCCTTTAGCACGTGTAGGAGATTCAAACTGCCCAATCCCTGCCTTCTGTTGGGAATCCTCACCCAGGCCCGCCCCCTGACCACAATAAAAGCCTCAACTCAGTCTGCTTTCCTTCTTCTCTCATGCCATTTTGGATTTGCTCGTGACAGCTCTGCTTGTCCTGGAGAGCTCAGTTATGTAAGTCATAAATCTTTTCATACCTTGTTGGTGTATGTGTGTCATCATCTGTGGCCACATTCAAACCAAGTTTTGGGTGGAGTTTCCTCCTGTTTTTACAAAGTGGCCTGGGTACAACAATGTTGAAAGGAGTTTAATGGAGAAGGACTTCCAGATTTTTACTGTAGGTAGGTTACTAGGCATTGATTCTTTTTTTTTGTTTTATTCTCCAAAAAACCCCACAAAAAATCAAAAACCAGAAGGGCTGGATCATAATGAAGTTCATTAGGGGTCATGATTTTTCACTTTTATGTTTATTGAATTTAAGGTGCCTGTTGAGATGTTTAGTTGTCTAGCACATTTTTGGCTTAGGAAATCAAAAGAGAATATAGAAATCAGAGTCATTTTAATATAAGGAATAGTTGAAAGCATGCGAAATGAAAATGCCATTTAGTGACAGGTTAAAAGAAATTGTAGGGGAGACGCAAGGGGGAAGAGATATGGGAGCATATGTATATGTATAACTGATTCACTTTGTTATAAAGCAGAAACTAACACACCATTGTAAAGCAATTATACTCCAATAAAGATGTAAAAAAAAAAGAAATCGTAGCAACAGATGAATTCTCTCATATATATAGCACTTTTCATGCCTTTTAAGTTTTAAGACTTCAGAACTAAATTAGCAGCTTCTAGTAGTTTCAGAAGCTGACTTCTACCACATACGTGCTAATTATAAGTACTCTTTTTCATTTAAAATGTCTTAATAGCATGGATTTATGCACAGCTAGATATTAGTTTCCTCACAAATTCGTGTAAAGATGCGCCCATTGTTGACATACACTAAGAAAAAAAGAAAAATCATTGGGGACTGTTTCCTGATTCATGCCTTCTGGGCTGTTATTTCACCAAACCATATTAAATGGTAGAAAAAACACAAAATCTTAAAAATCTCAGGTAAAACTTTTTTTCCAGACATTGCTTTGCTGTGTAAGACTAAATACATTTAGAATAGATAGCCTTCCTCAATGTTTAGTAAACCTCTGCTCAGCTGATTTGATTCTCCTTTAATTCTTTTGGTCACTGATTTCAGTTACCATTATTTCAGCTGTTCTATATCAGAGCACATCATCCTTTAGACATTATTATAGTCTATCTGAATAACCCAAAATTCTGTGCTCTAAGTAAGTTATTCAGATGGATAGGTAATTAAATTTCTTTGGGCAATAAGGTCATTTCTGTCAACCAGGGAAGCACGACCAGCATCAAAAGTTAACTTTTAATTTTGTTACTTAGTATGAATGTTTTTAAAGAGCACGAAAATGTAAAATTAGTTTACTCTGGGGTAGAAACATAAAACTTTTTAAACTTAATTCCTGTCAATTATCATAAAACATTTAGATTTATTAAACATAATTAAATGACTATCACTTTTCCTGTACTTAACATGTTAACATTAATATTTCTCTACTTCTTGTATGAAATTGTCTTGAAGTTCAGAAATTATACTCCCTATTCTTTCTTCCTCCTTAACCTCACTTTCTTAATTTTTATAAACCCACCACCACTATTTTTTTTAATCTGAAATATTTAGGATCAAAGTTTTACAAATAAAATTGTGTATAAAAATTAAGCCAGCTGACGAGAACACAATCCTTCACTATTTTTCACCTGGAGTTGTGTAATCTCTGTGACACTAAAACAATCCATATCTAAGCCATTACTCACTTTGGTATATGAGATTAAAGGTACTTGAGTTCAGTTACTAAGACCATGTTATCTGTTAACTCAGAAGAAATGAACAGAGTTAGTGTATCGGTTGCTGTCCCAGGGAAGCTGGCACATGTATTCTGTCTGAACTGGGTTTTAAAAAACAACAACTTTAGGAAACGTATAATATTTTAACTAAAATCATCTGGCAATATATTCAGGAAAAAAACATCATAATAAAAACATAGCTTAAATATATTTGCTTTCTTCTAGTTAATTAGATTCTCCTCAGTTCAGACTTGCTGAGAGTGTTGTTCTGTATTTCAAAAGGGTTCCTTTCCCCCTCTCCCTGCTGGAGGCATGAGGTGATTTTAATCTAACATTTACTGTGAGAACATTGGTGGCAGGCACTCCTGGAGATAAACCTCAGAAACTAGTGCAGGCTCCCCTGTGACTGGGTGCCCTTGGGGTTTTAAACTGAATTGTCCACACTGAGCTACCAGCAGTTTGTCAGTTATAGTTCAGGTTTTCCTACCCTGGCACTGGTTACCTCCATGAGCTCCACCAGGCTCTCAAGAAATAACAGAAAATAACCCCTCATGCTTCCAGCAGGGGGTGAAAAAAGAAACCCTTTTGAAAATATACCAGAACACTCTGTTCTCTTTAACAAGGCCTGACCTCAGGAGAAACTAACCAGAGCCTAACTTTTTGGGTTTTATCAGAGTCTAATGGAACTGGGGGAAGGAATATCCCTAACTCCAGCCCACTCTAGCTATGTCATCACACCTGAGGGAGGAGGGAAAAAAATGAGAAACACTTGTGGAGCTTTCAGACCAGAGGCATAGACTTGCTGACAGACTGAGACCTAGTCATAGAACTATAGTGTGCTTCCCCTCCCCCAACACCTCACCACCCCATTACTAAAGACCTATTTACCGCAGTTCCTTTTACCTAGTAGATCATGTCTGGCTATCAAGAAGT